CTGTATACGACCGGTGGTCTTTAGTGTTATAAAGCACTGGACATGCGTCGGACCTGGAGGTTGTTGGGCTCTGTGCTGCCTGGAGTATAGGAGCTCCATCTATGCTTCCTTCCTGTGGTGAATCTGTATAAGACCGGTGGTCTTAATAAAGCTTTGTGTGTATTATAAAGCACTGAAAGAATATATTTATTGCCATAGTAAATTCACCGCCAGCAAAATGCTGAAGAGAGATAAAGATCTTGTCGATGTACTAGTCGGAGCCAAGTGATGGCTGACTGAAACGTCTAAAGGCAAATGTAACTTTTACACCGATATTTACTTGGAGGGCGGGAGAAACAGCACAAGTAAGGGACTGCCCTGTAGGGCGGAGTACGGTGTCGTGAGCCTCTACGGTAACCGTGAACAGGGAACTCTGAAATGTGGCTGACTAACGGGGCAATGGCATCTCCCTTTTCCATTTGGACAAGACAACACCACACCGATATCTACGTGGCGGACGGGAGAAGGAGTAAGGAACTACCTTGTAGGGCGAGGTACGGTGTCGTGAGCCCCGAGCCGCTAAGGTAACCGTGAACAGGGAACTCTGAAATGTGGCTGACTAACGGGGCAATGGCACCTCCCTTTTCCATGGTGGACAAGACAACACCACACCGATATCTACGTGGCGGGCGGGAGAAGGAGTAAGGAGTAAGGAACTACCTTGTAGGGCGAGGTACGGTGTCGTGAGCCCCGAGCCGCTACGGTAACCGTGAACAGGGAACTCTGAAATGTGGCTGACTAACGGGGCAATGGCATCTCCCTTTTCCATTTAGACAAGACAACACCACACCGATATCTACGTGGCGGGCGGGAGAAGGAGTAAGGAGTAAGGAAATACCTTGTAAGGCGAGGTACGGTGTCGTGAGCCCCGAGCCGCTACGGTAACCGTGAACAGGGAACTCTGAAATGTGGCTGACTAACGGGACAATGGCACCTCCCTTTTCCAAGTGGACAAGACACCATACACCGATATCCAAGCTACGTCATGTCGCCAATAAAACCCTACACCAGGGCGACATTAATGACAGGAAGGCACCCATTAACTGTCAATTTAATTATTAACCGCGCGCCACCAACCCTCTCTTAAAATCAAGGTAAAAAAGACCCGTACGCATGCACTTGATCAGAAACACATTGCCAAAGGAAGACACGGAGCAAGAATATGGATAAAAGTTGATCAGATGACAAAGGATATTTTTATTGTGAAACAAACGATAGGACTTGGATTAACACACAAAGAATGTAATATATTTTCTCTCCTTTTTAATATCATAAATATATAAAATATGTAAATAATAATTTATATATAAAAATAGTATTTATCATTAATTTATTAACGTGATACTCTTGTTGAAGGACTGACAAGTCCGAAAACTTGAAAATAAAAGGTTGTACAAGAAACTTAACTCTGGAAGATTTATTTATTTTATAATATTAATCTCATCGACTCTAGCCAACTAATGGCTATTCTTAATTCAAAATTATCTGCGACAAAACTATTGGTATCGTCACCTTGAAGAGATTTGTTTACACAAGTTTATGAATAAATCATATTGTCAAGAAGCTAAGCGGCTCCAATCACGAGAGGCCCCATGGGACGTCTGTCAATCATCGCTGGACACCGGGTGTGAGGAGTTCTGGGGAATCTGGCCGGCGGGGGGAGCTGACGTCCCTCATTAGGATTAACTCTGTCTTGGGGTAAGTTGTATTGACTCTCTCTCTCTCTCCCTATCAATACCCCTTATAATAAATTAATTATCCCCTAACTTGCCCTTGCTTTATTTATCTCCGCGACAATATGCAATAACGCTTCCTTTTTTATAAATTTAAACCATTCCTATAGCACATGTTTCTTGACAAATGAAATCATTTTTTACTTCCTTTACTATAAAATAAATGAGGCTTCCAGAGTTAAGTTTCTTTTGCAACTTTTTATTTTTCAAGCTTTCGGATTTGTCAGTCCTTCAACAGGATTATCACGTTAACAATTCAATAATAAATACATTTTTTATATACACATTATTATATACATAATTTAAATACTTATTATCTATTTAGAGAAAAATATATTACATTATTTCAGTTAGTTCCTTTACTGTAATGATAAAATCGTGGAAAGGTCTTACTCTCCTCACTGGTGGCGGAGTCTTTCTCGCGGTTGGCGCCACCAATGAAGACCTTGTATATATATTTATATTAACACAAAGCAATAGGGCGCCATCTATATATCTATATTAATAAAATGGAAATTTCATAAGTGGTGTTCGCTAAAAACTTTCGTTACAATGCATCAATTTCGACCAAATTTTCAACATTTATGTAAAACGAGATGGAGCAGGTTTTGCTTAATATCAAAATATTTTTCCTAACTTTAACATACATAACTTTGCTGTTATCGATAAAATACAAAAAAATTCAACAGAGTTAAAGTGTTTACTTTGCGCTTCTTGCAAAATTAGTTTTAATCTTTTTTATATATTTTTTAATAACTTTTATACATGGTAAGATACTTTTATTTTATAGTTTTCATATTTTATACCGAAAAAAGTTGAAGCCTTACTTGATGAGATCAATTTTATATTTTGTTTTGTAAAAAAGAATTTGGGCTATTTCTATTTTTTACGCTAAAAGCTTGAAATTTCATTAATGTGCTCAATTTTATGTCTTTTTTGAGGACCTTAACAAAATTTTGATTAATTGCTTAGATATATTAAAAGTAGATTATTTATGGTGTTTTCCACATATATGGGTTGATTTGTAAACAAATTTTGGGTTATTTCTATTTTTTTTTCACTAAGATGCAAGTTATTTTATTGATATGTTTATGTGATTGTCATTATGAGGCCCTTCTCAAATATTTCTTAAGAAATTTTTATTTAATTATTTAGATCTTTCAAATACAAATTATTTGTGGTATTTATAACATATAGGTGTTGTGTTTTTAAAAATATTTGTTTTTTTTTATTATTAATCGCAAAAAAGAGCAAGCAATTTCATTGTGTTCAATTATGGGTCATTTTGAGGTCCTTTTTTAAATTTTCTTATGGAATTTTTAAATTATTGCTTTGATCTTTCAAATACAGTTTATTTATTATATTTTCTACATATATGGGTTGTATCTAAAAAATAGGTTATTTATATTTTTAAATAAGCAAGGGATTTCTTTTACGAATTCATTTATTTGTCTTTTTGAAGTCTTTTTTCAAAATTTTTTAAAAGATATTTTAATATTTTTGATTAAATATTTTATATTTAGATTATTTATAGTTTTTTAACATATAGGGGTTGTATTTTGTATTTTAGAAAATTATTTCTATTTTTTACCTCAAAAAAAGCATGCTTTTTCATTGCCGTATCCAGCGGTTGGTCTATTTTTGAAGCTTTTTAATGATAACTGGTTTTGTACATTAATTTTTTGGTAATAATATTATGATTTTAGTTTTTTAAAATCTTTTTAACATATCTGAAGGTTATTTTGAATAAAAAATTTAGAAATTTTGAATTTTTACCTCAAAAAGACAGGAAATTTTTATGCTTTGTTTAGAAATTGCTGGTTTTGAAGCTTTTGTTATTAATCTCAATCTAATTTTTTTTTCAGAATATGCCTCGCCACAGCCGACGTTTACTTGGTAGGAATACGGCTGCTTCCAGGAGAAATAGGAATGCTAGAGCTATTGAGACACCACTTCAAAGTGAGACGCGTCGTGCGCTTCGCCGTCTTAGGTATTCTGAAGCCCGCGTCGCAGCTACACAAACTATGCAAGTTCCTGTCCAGCGTATTCAGCTTTGGACTCATAAGCCGTTTTCAGGTTTGCAGTATAATGCCCATATTGATTATAAAGCTGATTCATCTGTCGATATAGGCCAAATGTCTCGGGTATGCCAGTTTTGCTCTGCTTTGAGATTTAAAGATGATGTAATGTAATAGAAACAAAATAAACCTCATCCTACCTAATATACATTACTTCTGAGGATTAAAGATTTTGATTTGTGTTGAGAATTTTGCATGCATTTCTATATTTCTTTTCTTATCTTGCAAAGCTAATGGATTGTTTAGGTTGCTTATTTTTGACTCGCCAATTTGTTTAGTGATAAAGTGGTATAGCGTTCTTTTTCAGAGCATCACCCTACAAAAAAATTACCTGACCTTTCCTAATATTCATATAGATTTATTATATCAACATACTAGACTACAAACATTCCCTCGAGTAAAACCCGGGCGGAGCCGGGTACACCCGCTAGTATAAAATAAAAGGATTTAAAAGCGCGAATGTTTCTTTTATACATAAAACGAACTTCTACTGTCCTTACTGCGATGAAAAAATATATTGGGAGGGCTTGGCTCATCAGTGGTGAACCCTCCCAGCGGTTTCGCCAATTTAATCGCCGAAACCGCTGGGAGGGTTCACCACTGATGAGCCAAGCCCTCCCAATATATTTTTTCATCGCAGTAAGGACAGTAGAAGTTCGTTTTATGTATAAAATAAACATTCGCGCTTTTAAATCCTTTTATTATATATACATATATATATATATTTATATATAAGGATATATGTATATTTATCAATTATTTTATCTATTTATTCAAATATCTATCATTATTAATCTTATTTATTCATTTGATGTATTTAACCTTATATAATCATATATGGACGTTATAATAAATCAGTCTCAATCTCAATCTCCACAGTGGTGAAACTACTTTTATTATTGCAATAAAGGCAGTGGAATTTTTCATAATAATCACATACATAGGTGCTATATAGAGTTTAAATGTCGAATGATGTTAAGATTGTTGTTGAAATTTGCTAAACCAGCAAGATTACTTTGAAAGGGTTGCTCAAATATGTGAATATTTTAAAACGACATTTGAAATACTATCCCGCATGTGTTTCTTTTCAACGAAAATTCAAAATTTTTTTCAAGGATAAATAACGATTATTTCTAACCTTTTGGATAAGGTATGAAAGGTAGCCTAGTGGACATGGCATCTGCCCGGTAAGCGGAACACTGTGGGTTCGATTCCCATCCCTGGACACTTTTATTTTTCCGTTTATCATTACTCTTCACAATTCACCCTTTCATACCTCATCCAAAAGGTTAGAAATAATCGTTATTTCTCCTTGAAATAAATTTTGAATTTTCGTTGAAAAGAAACACATGCGGGATAGTATTTTAAATGTCGTTTTACAATCACAAGTCGCATTATGTTATAATATGAATATTAATTGAAATATTGCTTACACAAAATCATGACCTTCTGTTTTGATAGTGGAATGTCAATTTTATATTCTGGATACCAAAACAAAGTCTGTGTTGAAGATATTATCCAAAGCATGCAGTCCGTGACTTTACTCACGTCTAAGAGCTGATAAATCAGAAAGCTTAAGTCCAAGTAATAAAAACTTATAAAGAAACTTAGATGTATATCCTCGGTTTATTCAATAAATTAAGTTTCTTATTTCAATCGAAGTAATGTACCTCATAGGGGGAACAATTCCTTGGGATAACATAATGGAATGACCCAGAGTACTGCCATGATGTGTCATCTTACTAGTTGACAAATGACAAATCTTCTTCTTCCTTATCTTCACTCGAACATATTTGGGTATCAAGTTGTGACCCTTGATGGTGTCTGTTTGACAATCATCATGACTGGGTGAAGTAGAATGCGTCTGCCTTTGCCATTAAGACTAGGAGCACTACTCAGTGGAAGGCCGACTTAGCTCCAAAAGAAATGGCCGCCTCTGACATGAGGAACAGACGCCATGTGCAGCCGCTTCTAACATGGAGTACAAACGCTGCTCATCCTGTATCCCTGGAGCCCTTACAGGGTACTATCAGCGGAGCCAGCTGAACACAGGTTTTTTGTGAGCTTGTTACTGCTCCCCCTCCTTTTTCATCCGGGCTTGGGACCGGTAAAGGCGGAGTTCAAATGACAAATAACATCGTTTTATTGACCACCCGTCAAAATATAGACAAAAGTGAACAGTCCGCACTATTCAAGTAAGATGAAAAATTACAATGATGATTATTATTATAATAAAAGAAATACAATAAAATATATGCTATGTATAATGAATGTGTAGTTACAGTAGAGGTTCCATTGAAAATTGTGTTGTTGTTGTTGTCGTGTCCAAAGAAGGGTCTCAGATGTCTCCATGCATCTCCATCACAGCAGCAGCAATATCCACTATCTTGGGTGTGTAAAGCTGCTGCTCTGGGTCTATGTCAATTTTCTGAAAGGCTGCGGCCATTGCTGGTTATGAGAATATGTGGGTAGGTGTTAGTTCCACACCAAGACAGTTGTTGCATGCTCTATAGGTTCTTGTGCCATCTGGATGTATTGTCATTCCTTTATAGTGTTTTGTTCTAAGTTTGTGTATTTCCTCTAAATTAATAAATTTATTTAAATATAGTTTCACATTTAAAGTATACTCATAGACAAAACTTAAGAGATTTATACATTTTATCAGGTATATCGGGATTCAGATATAATAGCTAGTGTAATTAGCTACAAGTGACGCCCAAGTTGAACAAACTATCCTTCTATATATCCAGTCAATTTGAAACGTAAACACTGGCTCTTATGAATTCAAATTAAGCTCGCCGACTTAATATGGGGTATTTATAGAACTTTTTTAAAATTCTAATTTAATTTGTCGGTTTTTTTTGTCTTTCGGGGTTTTGGTCAGTCGTTATTTTGGTCTGTTGATATTTTGGTTTCTCGGGGTTTTGGTCAGTCGTTATTTTGGTCTGTTGGTATTTTGGTTTCTCGGGGTTTTGGTCAGTCGTTATTGTGGTCTGTTGGTATTTTGGTTTCTCGGGGTTTTGGTCAGTCGTTATTGTGGTCTGTTGGTATTTTGGTTTCTCGGGTTTTGGTCAGTCGTTATTTTGGTCTGTTGGTATTTTGGTTTCTGGGGGTTTTGGTCAGTCGTTATTTTGATCTGTTGGTATTTTGGTTTCTCGGGGTTTTGGTCAGTCGTTATTTTGGTCTGTTGGGATTTTGGTTTCTCGGGGTTTTGGTCAGTCGTTATTTTGATCTGTTGGTATTTTAGTTTCTCGGGGTTTTGGTCAGTCATTATTTTGGTTTGTTGGTATTTTGGTTTCTCGGGGTGTTGGTCAGTCGTTATTTTGATCTGTTGGTATTTTGGTTTCTCGGGGTTTTGGTCAGTCGTTATTTTTGTCTGTTGGTATTTTGGTTGTCTTGCTCTTGGCCTGTCGGGATTTTTGTCTGTTGGTATTTTGGTTGTCTTGCTCTTGGCCTGTCTGGATTTTTGTGTGCCAGGATTATTGTCTGTCTTTATTTTGATCTGTCAGAATTGTGTCCTGTCATGAATTTGGTCTGTCGGGATTTCGGCTGTTGGGATTTTGACCTCGATCCTTTTTGCTCTATAGATAGTTGTTAATAAATTTAATTTTTAGGAAATGTTAATTGTATGATATTTTAAAAATTATATAAATTTTGAAAAGTTGGAATGCTAAAAAGAAACTAGCAACAATGGGACTAATGTCATTAAAAGAGATGAATCTTTTTTGTAATATATACTGGTCAGTTAATATGCTTGAAGTTCCACAATATGAGAAAGATATATTTGTTTACAAGAAAAAGAATGAAGCATTTCAGCTTTAGCTCAATATGATAATTTGCAATGGTATTCAGCTGAACCTTTTGAATGTGCCCAAGTAAATGATCTGAGCAACGCCGAGGATACGATTCTGATCGCTTGTTTTAGAGGTCGAACACTGGCTCAAGAAAATGCACAAAACGGCAGCATGGTTGCAAGTTTGGCCAATGGTTTGAGAGACCACACTTTGAAAAAAACTAAAAGAATTTATCAGCGGTACATCACGGCTACAAGATCTGACCGTTGGATCAGAAGCCACGCGTTGTGAAGGCTCAAGAAATTCATCAGGTCAGCACCACGGCTGCATAATTACAGCCGCGGGTTTTAGAAACTGCACTTTGTAATAGCTCAAAAAAAAATTCAAGATGGTACAGGGCTGCAGAATATCACATTCGACTTTAGAGGCCGCTCTTTTCAAGTAAATAATCAAATTAGTACCACGGCTGAAATATCGGGTCACTGATTTTAAATTCTACGAAAAAGCTCAAGGAATGAATCAGTACAGCAACATAGCGTCGTGATTTGGCCAATGGTTTTCGAAAATGCACTTTCCGAAAACTCAAGGAATTGATCAGAACTGCAACAGGACTGTTAGATCCAGCTGTGTGTTCAAGAATCCGTATTTACAAACTCTCAAAAAAATGATAAAGGTGGCACCACGGCAGTAATATCTGGTCGCTGGTTTTAGAAGCCGCATATTCTGAAGTTCAAAGAATTTATCAAGACAGTACCACAACTGCAAGTTCTAAGCGAGGTTATAGAGGCTGTAATTTGTGATGACTCAATGACTCAGCTTCAAGATCAGGCCGGTGGTTTTAGAGACCATACACATTGTGAGTACTCAAGAAATTGATTATGACGCTAAAAGGGCTATATGATCCGCACGCTTGCTTCAGGTATCGCATGCTGAGAAGGTTCAAGAAATCTGTAGAGATATATCTCTCTGTTGAGATAACCTGAACTCCCGGAACGTACAAAAGTACTGAATGGCCGGAGAATCTTCTTTATACGGAATACGATAATCGATCCTTTGAGAGGGTCCATCCCAATCTTTCTGAAGTTCGGAAACAACATTTTTCTCCGTTGAAGGTTATGGAGCCAAACAAAGTCACCAACATGAACAAGCCATTTCTAGCGGTTAAAATTTTCTTCTCCTTGTCATTGGGATGCATCTATAGTTGCCAATATAACCAATTTTAAGATCTCAAGTAGAGAACCATCTGTACCCAAAAAGTGCGTCAAAGGTAGAATGTATTCTAAGAAAAAGGTAAGTTTTTTTTTTTTTTCGTGACGTAGTTCTGCTTTCAGTAATCAACACAGAAAAAGATGGATCCATCTTTCTTCTTGGAAAGCACTACAGGTGGTGTCCAGGGACTGAAAGATGTCTCGATGACTTCTTGATCTAATGTCTCTTTCACGAGAATGTCCACCTCCCGTATTCGGGCAAAGGGAATCGCTTTAGGCGCCCGTTTAATGGGCTCAGATTCCTTCGTTTCGATCTTATGATGAATCAATTTTGTCCTTCCTTAATCTTCGGACGACTTTGAAAAACATCTGGACAAGAAGCAAGTAAATAATTCAAACGATGTTGTTGATCGCTGCCAAGACCTACTTTGAAAGTTTCCCAGGGGGTTTCAAGATGAGAGGGTACTTTTTTTACATTTGTGATTCTGTAGAGTCCTTTATAATACCGAGCCACGGTGACAACAGGCTCAACGAGACCCAATTCAAATCCTTTCTTTGAGTTTTTTAGAAAATCCGTACAAGTTGATAGCACAAACAGGTATGGACTTTCTATGAGTGTCGATCAATTCTTTATCAATGATGACTCCACCTCCATGCTTACTTACTTTCAAAATGGAAATGCAGGACATAATTTCTAGTTTCTTAATTCGACTCTGACAATACATTCACTCTGTGGAGAGTTTTCTATATCTTCCCCTGATCACAACTCGGCAAGCTTGCGGACAGTCTGTTGGCCTACCCTTTAAAAAAGAAGTTTATACGAGTATTTATTAGGACAGAAGACCTTAATACCTAAATCTATACAGACTCAAAATTTTCTAAGTATATTAAGGCCAATAATGACATCGTCCAGAATACCAGCTACATACCCAGGATACTGGTGGATGTTGCCGTGGATATTGTCACCATCGTAGCTCGAGGAACACTCGGTTCCCCGGTTGCTGTAGTGATTGAAGGCGTTGTCGATAATTTAAACTGCCGTTATTTTATTGTACAAACCAGTTCGAAGGATGGTGATCTTTGCCCCGGAGTTGATTATCATGCAGCTAGAAATTCCTTGAACACTCAAATACAAGAAATATCCATCTTCATTTCTTAGAAAATCCGAGGCCAAGATGGCTTTGATTTCGGAGCCGACTTCTGCCTCGCGAGTTCGACTAATTAT